AAAAGAGAATGTTTGCATTGAAGAGTATGACTATGTGATGGTTTGTAGTGGCGCTTATGCTAAGCCAATTGTACCTAAAATGGCTGGTATAAATGACTTTACGGGTGGAATGATGCATAGCAAATTTTACAAGACTTTCGTGCCATTCCTAGGAAAGCGTGTATTGGTTGTTGGACTCGGGAACACGGGAGGTATATATATCAGTTACCTACTAAGAAAGAGGATAAAATATTAAAGTACACAACAGGAAGCCCAATTTGTGAAATAGAGTCAATCTATAAGATCTTTGTCATGGGAAATAATTGCCCTATAACTTCCTGACAAATATAAAATAAATATTATCCTTCATGGATTGTTTATTGCAATTTTGTTGATCTCTGGTAGCGATTTCAGGCTGATATGATTTTTTTAACGAAGTTATAAGGCAAATATCAAGACTTATACATTGACTCGATTTCAGAGATTGGGCTTCCTGTGGGTACACATGACTACAAAGTAAATGATTAAAGGGACACTGTCAATGGATGACATGCGCAGTAACAGTCTTGCCTCTAACGGACTTTGAAAGCGATTACCATCGAGGTAAATCAATGTTTTGACACACTTTGGAATATTCTAGATCTGTTTACGTTTATGAGTACTTTTTTTGTCATGCGTCGCGCCAACTTGGAGTCGTAAACTGGAAAACATTAGCCTAATCTTTTCAAGTTTACTCGCGCATGCGTGCCATTGACAGTGTCCCTTTAAAGTGCAACTGAATCCTACTTGAAAGTCATTTCATTCGAAAGAGAACATTCTGCTAAGCACTTCTGCAACGGAAAAAAACATTCAAATTGATATCTGATTTAGAAATATTTGAAAATCGGAAATGCAAATTAAGTGACGTCTACTAAGGAATGATTAAATATGCAAAATCACGAAAAAAATACATTACTCTTTTTTTATATCGCAGATGACATTTCCAGTTGTTGAATATCACTGTTATTGATGATTTGACCATTTCAACCGAACACAAGATATCGCAAACAATGAAAAACGTCCAGCCCAATCCCTTGATTGACGTCACTTCATTAGCATTTTCAATTTTCAAATGCCTTTGACTCAGAAAATAGAATTCAAACAACTTTTTCTTCTTCAAGACAATGATTAGTATCATATTTGCCTTTTTCAAAAATGATTTTCTAAAAGGGTTCAGTTTCACTTTAAGGAAATATTTCAATGTTACATCTTTGACTGGTGAATTTTACACTACTGATGTTAATGACATCGGAAAGTTTTCAGTAATAGTTCATTATTGGTATGTATATAAAAGTTAATACATTAATTATGTAATCATCTTTTTTTAAGCTGACATTGCCTGTGAACTRAGTAGACACGCAAGTCAAGTGTACCTRAGTATACGTCAKGGTACWTATGTTYTACCACGCCTTATTGGAGATGAAATACCAATGGATCTATCCATTTATACAAGAGCAGGCCGATTACYTCCAAAAGTACTTCAAGATCTTCTCCTACGTCGAAAATTAAGGTCTTTTTACAACCTTAATGATCTTGGTTTAGACTCAATGAACGGTCGGACACCAATAATCATMAATGATGATCTTCCTACTCGCATCTTGACTGGAACAATCATTGTAAAGGATGAAATTGCTTGCTTTAAAGACAAAAAAGTACTTTTTAMAGATGAGACAGAGCTTGATGACATAGATGACGTTATATTTGCTACTGGCTACGACGTACATGTTCCTTTTTTGCCAAAGTCTATTTTTGATCTAGACAAAGCGAGTTATTGCAGTCAACTTTATAAGTTAGTTTTTCCCGTTGATATCCCTCATCCAACTATCGCGTTTATCGGGTTTTGTCCGCTWCGTGGTTCTGGGATACCTCTCCGGGAGATGCAGGCACGCTGGGCGATGCATATATTCAAAGGCGAGYTACATTTACCTAGTAAAAAAGTAATGGAGAAGGAGATCGAAGAACGACAAAAGGGGTTGTTTGGGAATGGAAACCGTCGTACAGTAATCGCATTCAGGGTAAGTGGAGAATCATGGAATTACATAGCATWGCTGCTGGACGGTCTAACCTCGCGCTCAGCCTTATTGAGCAAAAACATGTAAAGAATTAGAGTTAGAAGTACCGCTATAACAATGCGAGTACAGATAACGCTTTGTTTCAAGTCCATGTATCTGTTTAGAATCAGCTTTGACTACAGGAATCCCTCAGGTACTCAAATCTATCCTGAAGTTCAATAATGTAATTCTCTATTCAGGACGGACCTTCCTACGCCGATGACATTGCATCACTGATAGGAGTCAAACCCAAGTTATGGAAACTGTTTTTCCAAGATCCTAAGCTAGCAATAAAGTGTTTCTTCGGTCCAGCTATCCCAGCACAGCACCGTCTGATGGGACCAGGGGCGTGGTCAGGGGCSAAAGACGTCATAAAGGAAGTAGAAGAAAGCAGGTTGGCTCCATTGACAACGAGGAAAGGCAATAATCAATAGAGAAGCTCATCACGTTTGTTTGCGTGTAGAATTGTTTATTGGTATCTTTAATTGGAATTAATAAAGGTAATTTGTAACGATTGAAATGATTTTGAGTAAGTAAAAGATATCTGGATTGAGAGCTTAGAGAWAAGTCATGAAGGCCCAATGTGCACCATTATGCTTTGGGGGCCTCGAAGGACGGGAGGCGGGCATTTTCAGTTTTCCGAAAGTCTATAAATTGTACTGTGTGTTTCGAATCTTTGACAATTTTACTTTTATAAGCACTTTGACGCTAATATAAGAGATTTTTCAACCATCTGAAATTCGTGTTATCGCACCTTTCGTTGACTGCATCTGGTTTGACGTATGAATCAACGCCGTACCAAATGTATTTGGGTCGACATCAGCCGACTATTTGTTTCGGCGCGACGCTGGCTCGACGTATGAGCCGGGCCTAACCTAACGATAGAGGTTCTTTAATCACAAACGGAGCAATCAAAACGCAGGTTTAGAAGTGAGTCTTGACAACCTAATAGTCAACGAAAAGAAAGCAAATATATAGCATGCAATGAGGCCTCATAGGCCTTTTCTGAGATAGCAGTTTGCATTGCATTGTGGTCTAGATTCGGTACAAACACCTTTTGTTCGTGCTGCCAAATATGGCGTTGTTTGTACTGAAGCTAGACCACAATGCATCATGATTTTGTATTTCAGAAAAGGTCTATGGGCTATCAGCTCGTAGTCCACTCGCCCTCAAGATCTAATTGTCAATTAGACTCGTGGGTTATTGAACCGTAGCCCATTCGGGCTTCGGGTCTAATTGTTAATTATYATAAAAGTTATATTATTGATATTTGGCCGTATTTTACGCGCACTCGGATTTGATCTACTGTACCTAAATCCTACAAACTGGACACTTCCATAAAATCCTAATATCGTTAAATACAAGATATTTTAAATATTTTGTGTACAAAAAACTTCAACAAAATAACAGTTCCATTTCTTAGTCCATGTATCGGTGGTTTTGATATGAGGAGGACGGAGRGATTTCTTTGGCTTTCGGCTACATTAAATAATTGTATGTTCAATTTGTTCTTCAGCACATTTCTTTATAGCAGTCTGCTCTTTGATTCAACTGAAACATATTCCAAGATGGACATGAAAATTCAAATTGTTGATTTTGTTGCCTGTTGTTTGTAGGCAAGTCTGGTTTGCCCGTTTCGAAATTCAAAAAGGGACTGGTGACTAGTCATAAACTCGATACCGTTTGAAGCAATCAAAAAACAGACACCAGCCCGGACAAGAAAGAGCGTAGCGTCCCCCAATAAAACATACATTATCTCTTATTTTTACAAATTTGAAAAAATCTTACTCGGTGAGTATTCAACCAAATATGCTCAAACTCGACAAGAACGCTTATTTTAGTGCGGTCTTTCATGTGGTGAGGTTCAGTTTTCGATGAATGTAATTTTTTCACACTTGTTCCCAATCTCCTTTTGAATTTCGGAATGGCCATGCTGCCGGTATCGGTATATATATGTTTGAATAGAAGGAGCAGTTAAAGACATTTTCTAACGATTCATGAGTAATAGTTTGATTTGATATAACACATATTCAAATATTTTGAGGTTTAGTGAACTCGAAGTCCAAACTAGAAGGTTAAGCCCTCCCCCTGGTTCGTGATTGTCACGCTGTCCATCGGTAAAAACACGTATCTCGCAATAGGCTATACCCACACGATGGCGTCAGTAAAATGTTTTGATTAGTGTGAATAGCTAAGACTTCGAGGGAACCCGCCATCATGGCAAAACGAGTGGCGATTATTGGCGCCGGTGTTGCTGGATTAACATCCATTAAGAACGCTCTCGATTCGGGCTTTGAACCCACGGCATACGAAAAGGATTCTTGGTTTGGAGGCATTTGGTATTACACCGAAGATGAACATCGATTTGTTGCACCTAAATCAACAATTTTCAACACAAGTAAACACTTCTCTTGCTTCAGCGACTTTCCATTTCCCAAAGAGACRCCAAAYTA